CCGACACCCCCCATTTCCCCACAGAGGAGGGGTTCGACTGGTCGGCCGCCTGCGTGGACCTGGAGGAGCACCTGCAGCGCTGGGGGGGCGGTGGGGCCCCTATGGAGCACTTCTCCCTGGACGAGGGGCACTTCGCCTCCGTCGATTCCGTCCTCCTGCTGCAGGTGGGATGCGCCGCGCCCGGGGGGGTCCCCCGGTTCTGGGGGGGGTCCCTGCCTCACCCCCACCCACCTGGCAGGGAGGGACCCTCTGTGTTTCGGGCGCCCGCGACCGCAACGTCAACCTGTGGGACCTGCGGCAGCTGGGACGGGCCCCCGGCAAGGTGCTGGTGAAGGCGCTGGGCACCGAGCGCAACGGGACGCACAAGGTGGGGGGCACGGCCGTGATCCCCCCTCCTCACGCCTCGGTTCCCCAACCTGGGGAGCCACTGGGGGGCGAAATCCCGGAGCGATTTTGGGACCGGTGGCGGGTTTGGGTTCTCCCTCGCAGGGCTGGGTCTGGTGTTTGGCTTCCCGAGACAACAAGGTGTGCTCGGGCTCCTGGGACAGCACGGTGAAGCTGTGGGACCTGGAGGCCGAGGGGCAGCAGTTTGGGGAGATCAGGTAACGCCTGGGGGGGCGCTGGGGTGAGCTGGGGGGTCCCGGGGGTCCGCTGAGCCCAACCCTCCCTCGCCCCCAGGGAGAAGGCGGCTGTGCTGTGCCTCTCCTACCGCCGGGGTCCTGCTGCCCCCCAAAACCGCGGGGGGGCCAGGACGGGGCTGGGGGCTCCGTACCCCGTCACCTCCGGCCCAACGCTTCTCTCCCCACCCCAGCTGGAAAACTACCTGCTGTCCATGTCGTACCGGGGGACGCAGCTCTGGGCCGGGGACAACCAGGGCCGGGTGTACGTCTTCGGGAACAGCGGCGGCAGCTTCCAGCCCGCCCGGGTAGGGACCCCGAGGGGGTTGGGGGGTGCAGGGGGGGCCGGGTGCCCCCCAACGCCTCACGGTGTGGGTTTTTTTTGTGTCTCCCCTCCCGCAGTACTTCGATGTGGGGCACCGGCTGCAGATCACGGGGCTCTGGCACTCGCTGGGGTCCCTTTACACCACATCCACCGACAGGACGCTGCGGGTGAGGGTCCCGCCGTCCGCACCCCGCGGCGGGGGGCTGGGGGGGGGGCTGCGGGCCCTGCGGGGGGGGGGCGGGGGGGGGCCAACGGGGTTTCGCCTCCC